CTGAACATGAGTTCCCAGAGCAATGCTGTGGCCAAAACGGCAAATAGGGAAATCTTGAGTAGGAGGACAGATGTTTTTTAACCTATGTATTTGGCATTGGTGCAAGAGCTGCTGGAAAACTGTTTCCAGGTTTGAAGAAGAATGAAAAAGTTGTGGTGCATTCTCCATCACTGACAATTTATAAATCACGATTGGATGTTTTTCTAAAGGATATACTCCATGGATAATTTTGGGGAAATTCTGTGGTCTGTGTTACACAGGAGGTCAGATTAGATGATCACAGTAGTCCATTTTGGTCTTGGAATCTATGAATCTTCAAGGGACAAAATTTCCAGACCTTGGTTTCCAGAAAGAGATTACTCCCTGATCTTCCCTTCATTAGTATCCCTCTCCCGCATGATTGGAGAGCAGGCTAAATTGAACACACTAGAGACAAGAGGTGCTCTCAGGATCCAGTGAAGGCTTGTGCCACGTCTGTTCCAAGCCTGCAAACCTTCATTTGTATGGAGCAACATGCTCAATATGGATGGCCTCTCTCGTCCGATAGTCTGTGACTATCAGACTGGGGCAGTACTGGTTGCACCAGTAACCCATTAAGGTATACAATTATCATTGATCAGGAATTTTTTTATGAATACATCTCCAAGTCTCTTAGATTTCATGATCTAATGCAGTGGTTCTCAACCAGGGGTATGCGTGCCCTGGGGGTATGCAGAGGTCTTCCAGGGGTATGTCAACTCATCTAGTTTTGCCTAGTTTGCCAATTTGCCTAGTTTTACAACAGGCCTCATAAAAGTACCAGCGAGGTCAGTACAAATTAAAATTTCATACAGACTGACTTGTTTATACTGCTCTATATACTATATTAAAAGGTAACGTAACATGCGTATACGCACTGTATTAGATGTGCATTTTATGTCATTTACTTATGTGTGCAAGCATGTTAATGAGGTTGAAGTTGTCATAGTGTATGCGGTTGTGATGTAAAAATGGTTCGATTTTTAAAATGAGGAGCTAGAAGCGGCGGGAGTGGCAACAGTGATAAATTGTAGGAAATTGAAAATGACTGCAAAAAAACCCCACCCCATCATCCGTTCTGCGAGGAATATATTGCTTTTGGATTCAGATCTACAAATAGCGATCCACCTCAAGCTGTGTGTTTCCTTTGCGGGCATTTGCATCGACATTTGAAGACAAAAGACCCTGTGCATGCAGGTACGTCAGTAGAAGTTTTTCAAAGAAAGCTTTCTGAGTTCCAGACTTGTCAGCCTAAAATGAAAAAAGCTTCAACTATTTCTAGAAAAGCACTAGAAGCGTCATACACTGTTTCCCTTGTAGCAAAATCAAAGAACCCAAATAATGCACTTACACAAGCTCCAGGGAAAAGCCACTCCAATAGGTAATTTGGGTCCGCTGACAAAAAGGCTAGCATCCTTTGACCTGATATTACCAAAAGGAAAGTTTGTGCTTTTCTCTACACTTTCTGCCATAAACTTACTATTTCTATTACCAGACCTGGCAAAAGTGCACTAATATACCAGCTTAACTGATGGGGGAATTATATGTTAGTGCGGCATAGCTCCTTCAGCTGCTAAATGTAGATTATACACTGATGTGCCAAAAATAAAAAAGCAACACTATTTTGTTGGACTATTAATAAATAATTCAAGAGAATGTGGGTAGTCTGGAAAGCAGTGTTCCATACCAAACAGCAACCATTTCATACATGTCGCGAAATCATGGATCTTTGCCAAATGTATAAGAAAAACATAAATCTGACAACCATTCCAAAACTGCCATTGATATCAACAGAAGCAGCATCTGAGCCTACATAGACATGCCAGTTAAGCAAGTCAAAACTATTCAAATCAAAAGTAATAAATGGATAAAATTTCAAGCATAGGTTATTTGCAGTGAGCTTTGCAAACATATTGAAGAATTAATTAAAACCAAACTTAAGATATCCGATCACCCATTGACAATTAACACAGAGAGAAGATTGACCAAATTATTATAGCAATTACTTCCCAAACATTAACCCTTACTACAGATTAAATGAAGTAATTCTGCTGATCCCCTAACATTCTGCTGATCCCCTACATTACATTACAAGGATTTTTTTTCAGACTCCCGTGTCAAAGCTTATTGCAATTTCTCATGACTATGCAAAGGTAAGACCAGTGTACTGACACCTGATATAATAGTTCATTAATATCGGTTTGGGCAATGATTCAGCAGCTGTCTGACATTAAATGTCATTCTCTACTTCCTTTCTTCTCCAGGATAAACATGTCAAAAGTTCCACAGCCATGCAGGTAAGTAAAGGAAATTTGTAGCCTTGTAGATAAACCAAGAAAATAAGATCACTAGGACCTAAAAAGCTGAATCACTGACCAAACAAATGCTACTAGGTTAACCTTTTAACTCCTGAGCATGAGTTCAACTCCTGTGCAGCAATCCCATTTTCAGACTGTCTCAAGAGCTTCTGGCCATTTGATGTGGATGTACCAGACACGACTTGGACTTCAGTGGTTAGGATGAAGCAGGGCTATTTGCCATAGGACACGGTTCTTGAAAAGTCAGTAGTACGTTGAAATCCAGCATAGGTAAGCAGAGAAAGCTTCACCTAATTCATGTTCACTGTGAAATAATTTGACATTTTGTATCCAGTTGGTCCTGCTAATTTGTCCACAAATAGCAGCAAAACAGACAACCTTCTTTCGTATTTAGTCTTGAATCAGAAATGCCAATTTTGACTATTGTCCTGGTGGCCTTGCTCTGAATTCTGCAAGCAGTCTCTCCAAGTTGGGCTTTAGCATGCTGATGGGATACTCTGATGAAACATGCACCTCTGCTCTGCTGTTCTGAGCATATTAGATCATCAGATCTGACACTTTTACCCAAATAATAAGTTGACACATTAACATTAACAAACAAAATAAACTGGTTATGAATGCAGTCTTGGAGAAGCCTAGATCCCACTACTTCAGGTGCAAATTAATCCTCTTAATTTTCAGATCTTGGCGTTCAAATGAACGTAGCCCCATTTATCAGGCCCAGAAATCGGAAGCACTGGAGATTCTCAGTTTAAACAGGCAATATACAGTTATTATAAGTACATTAGGTTGAGTGACTGTTCTGCTGTCATAATGGAGCAGGAGACAGTAAGTTAGGAAATGGCTAAACACTGAAGTTTACGTTGGCAAAAAAAAATTTAAACAGACTGTGGAGAGGACAAGCAACACCACCAGGGGGCATTTAAACACATGACATATTGACCATGGCTTAAGAGAATTCAGGGCAATATATTTCAACCTCTAGTTCCATCAACTGATAAGCGCCGGCATGTCCTTTTTTAGGATGCTAATTAAATCACACTGGACTAGAGTCAAGTATCAGGAAGGTGGCAGTCAAACTCGTACTCAGCTAAAATATTTGCTGTTGATCATGTGGTAGGTAAGGAGAACGATTGCCCCCTGCGTGAGACTGGTAGTGCAGCTATCCTCCACCAGAGGGGGAAGCAGCTTTAAGTTGCATAATGGGTCCATAGAAGCCTTGATAGTATAAACTACTTGAAGGTATTGAATCAATAGGCCTCTCATGTGATCTGGCTCTGTTCCTGGTTTTACTCCAGCTCAACCCACTTTCTGGGCCAATTAAGTCTTAGCTTCTCAATCCATAGAGAGAGAGGGAAGCTGATAGCTTGGGTTCCCCTGGTCCTCAGGCCACATGGGTAGCTTACAAGCTGGTCACGCAATCACAGACATGAAGGTCGCTATCTTACAACAAAAAAACTTCAAATCCAGACTCCAGCGAGAAACTGCTGAATTGGAATTCATTTGCAAATTGGATACTATTAATTTAGGCTTAAATAGAGACTGGGAGTGGCTAAGTCATTATGCAAGGTAGCCTATTTCCCCTTGTTTTTTTCTACCCCCCCCGGACGTTCTGGTTAAACTTGGATTTATGCTGGAAATGGCCCACCTTGATTATCATGCACATTGTAAGGAGAGTGGTCAGTTTGGATGAGCTATTGCCAGCAGGAGAGTGAGTTTGTGTGTGTGTGTGTGGGGGGGGTGGTGTGTGTGAGAAAACCTGGATTTGTGCTGGAAATGGCCCACCTTGATTATCATGCACATTGTAGGGAGAGTGGTCACTTTGGATTAGCTATTACCAGCAGGAGAGTGAGTTTGTGTATGGGGGTGGGGGGGGTGAGAAAACCTGGATTTGTGCTGGAAATGGCCCACCTTGATTATCATGCACATTGTAGGGAGAGTGGTCACTTTGGATAAGCTATTACCAGCAGGAGAGTGAGTTTTTGTGTGTGTGTTTTTTTGAAAAAAAAAAAAAAAGGGGGTGGGGGGGGGTGAGAAAACCTGTATTTGTGCTGGTAATGGCCCACCTTGATTTTCATACACACTGTGAGAAGAGTGGTCACTTTGGATAAGCTATTACCAGCAGGAGAGTGAGTTTGTGTGTGTGGTTTTTGGAAAAAGGGGGGGGGGTGAGAAAACCTGGATTTGTGCTGGAAATGGCCCACCTTGATTATCATACACATTTTAAAGACAGTGGTCACTTTGGATGGGCTATTACCAGCAGGAGAGTGAGTTTGTGTGTGGGGGGGCGGAGGGTGAGAAAACCTGGATTTGTGCTGGAAATGGCCCAACTTGATGATCACTTTAGATAAGCTATTACCAGCAGGAGAGTGGGGTGGGAGGAGGTATTGTTTCATGGTCTCTGTGTATATAATGTCTTCTGCAGTTTCCACGGTATGCATCCGATGAAGTGAGCTGTAGCTCACGAAAGCTCATGCTCAAATAAATTGGTTAGTCTCTAAGGTGCCACAAGTACTCCTTTTCTTTTTGCGAATACAGACTAACACGGCTGTTACTCTGAAACCTGTCTAGTTAGTGGTCACTCTTCTTCATTGATAGCTAATTACACATCTAATGCAGACTCCCAATGAAACGCAGTTCCTGATCAGTCTCCAGAGAAGAGGCAAACTCTCAAATTACCTTTATTACATAAATTACATCACATTTCTCCGCACTTGAGCAATTCAGGAGTTATTCCTTTGCTTTCAAAGAAGCCATTGATCTGCTTCCTGATGAGAGAAGATGTTTTTATTCTTTCCTGGCAGCAGAGCAGGATTTCTTTTAGCCAATCTGATCAAAAAGTTCATCAGTTGATGTGGTATCTCCAGTGAGATTGATGGCTGGATAAACTACAAATCAAATTACCAAGTGTGAAGTGCTGTTGGAAACAATGCAGAAAGGCAAATATATTACTGAATAAAAAGTGTTCGTAAGAGTTGAGATTGAACAAGTTAAAATAAAGTCCTGCTAATGCTGCATAAATGTGCCAAATATTCTGTCTCTTAAATAAAGCCACCCTGGAAAGGAACACTTTGCTACCACGTCACTCTTCATCCCTCAACATCTCCCTGCCTTGCTTACCCCTCTAAAAATGTGCAAATATAAATGCAAGATTCAAAAGAAATATGAATAGTATTTAATACTAACAAATCTAGCCTTCTTTTTATTAAAACCTCAGAGTGGAGGTTGTTTGTAACTGAAAGTTCTGTAACTCTGAACAAAACATTATGGTGGTTCTTTCAAAAGTTTACAACTGAAGATTGGCTTAATACAGCTCTGAAACTTTACTCGGTAGAAGAAAAAGGCTGCTTTTAACCGTCTTAATTTAAATGAAACAAGCACAGAAAAGTTTTCTTGTCGAATCTTTTTTTAAACTTTCCCTTACTTTTTTTTAGTAGTTTACCTTTAACACGGTACTGTACTGTATTTACTTTTTTTATTTTATTTTTTTATCTCTGCTGCTGCCTGATTGTGTATTTCCGGGTCCAAATGACAAGTGTGGTTGATGGGTCAGTTCATAATCCTGAAGTTCTACGGCATACAAATAGCTATTTTGCCAGCCATTGAAATATAGTGAAGACGGCAGTGCCAGAGAGTAGCTGGCCCCTTAAGACTCTCAGCATACTTGTAACAAGCTCTGCTAAAGAGAATAAGTCAGCAGATATCCATCTTGGGATAATTGATTGCCTAAGTATCTGGGGAGTAGTTAATTAGCGAAGGAATACCTGGGCCTTTTAAAGGGTTATATAAGCTCAGGGAGGAGAAAACCCAGGGAGAAAGTAGGTGGGGAAAGAATATCTCAGGGGAACTGACTAGGAAGCTACTCCTAGGGGGTCTCCCTAGAGAACAGAGGTGAGAGGCTCCTAAAGGACAGAGCTGTGAATGCCAAGTTTCAGAGAAACCTGGTCCCAATGGAAAGACTTCACCAGGCAGCAGCAACCCTAGACCAAAGAAATGATATGCTTTCCTAAGAAGAATTGTCATGGTGTGAACTCTTCGTGGACCTTGACTCAAGCAGAGAGACCCATTCCCAGATAAGGACAAGAGGCCCTTCTCCTGAAAGGGGTTCTGTGTTAAGGGGCCTGGACAGAAGTGGGGTTGACAGACTAAAGTTAATACAGCCCCTTCCCTGCCTAGCTAGGATGCTGGAGTGGAAGCCTATTTGTATAATGTTCTGCCTTTGGGTTAAATAACTAGATCCTTGAAGGGACACTGTTCAATATACATAGTCCTCATTGGACTTATTGAAAGGCCAGTAGGAGAAACTGAGGCAGACATAATTGCAGTGCTGCACCAGGCTGCCATGGGCGTGTTTCAGGGTTAAGGGCCCCCATTACAGGCAGCCATTCAATATGGTAACAGTTCATTAAAGAGCTGTTAAACTAAAACTATAGAATACAACTATCCAAGATGAAATATCAGCAGGACACTACATGTATTGTAGTCATTAAGCAATTGATTTGTGGGGATGTGTGTGCATGCTTACTTTTAGATAGACCACCATTTAGAAGTGATCTGGAAGCAGTGCCACTTAAGGTGATCAGACAGCAAATGTGAAAAATTGGGATGGGGGTGAGGAGTAATAGGAGCCTATATAAGAAAAAGACCCAAAAATCGGGACTGTCCCTGTAAAATTGGGACAACTGGTCACCCTAGTACCACTTAATTAGAACCCAGCATGCTCTTAAATTGATATGATATTACTCACCTGGGTAGGAAGAAAGCTACTTGCTAAATCACTAGTACATTTTCCTGTTGTGCTTTGGTTTACTTCTAAGGGCTCCCATCCAAACAGTGGCCAGTCTGAGTCCTACTTTTCTTAGATTATAGCCTAATATAGTATGGCTAGCTATGGTCAGAAGCCACATCTTAAATGTTGTTCTTGTGTAACAAACCCAACTTGCCATGCTCAAAGGCACCAATCTGAGGACAAATTAATGATAGGTAAAGCTAATTCTTTGATATGTAGCTAGTTGTAACACTGTAATAAAAAAAAGGGGGAAAAACCCCCTCAGTTTACAAAGTATATTTTATACTATATATTCTATTCTATCTTAAACTCAATTCTTGCATTTTACTACCAATAATAGCAAAAAGTGAAATTTATTTAAAAAAAGGAAAGACTGTTTTTCCACTGATCATCTGACCAAGTTGGTTACAACTGAGCTGACTAATGCAGTTATTCATTGTAATAAGCTTTTATCCTTCTCTGGCTATGCCAGTTCCTAGAAATGTGGCAAGTGGTGCTTCTGCACACAATTCAGATTACTAGTAAACATGTCCATCTGTTCAATATTTTCCTTCCAGCATAATTTTGACTCTGTGGGTAAAAGCAATTGACTGAAGGCAGTACACAAGAAGTATATATACTCTTACAGACTCTGTCCTTTTAATGTAAAACTTCATGGGAAATCAGTTGTAATTTGTTCTATCAGAATACACAATGAAGAACCTACATTGCCAGTGATGTAGCTATGTGTAAATTGAACGGAAATTGGTGCTCAGATGCAGTTCTTGGTCCAAATTCTCTGATCATGGAAGTGGCTGCGGTTCCAGTGACTCATTTGCAGAGATAGTGACTCAATTTCACCTGATGCTTTTTTAGTCTAAAGGGTGGGTGGGTGTCTCTCTCTAGTATTTTAGTTTCCCCGCCCCAAGAGACAAGATACTGAGGAATGCATTGGAGCTAGCAAATTTAGTGGAAGCAAGGCCAACCTGCTGCTTCTTACCAGTTTCAGAAGAAGTATGCCAGAATAGCTGAGCTCTCCGAACAGCCATAGACCAAGACCAAAGGAATAAATGGCTATCAGGAAATGGGTTGGTTTTAGTACCATTAATCCTAAACACCTTTTTAAACCTCTTCTCACTTCAAGGGGTAATGTGGTGTTGTCGTTGCTTGATGTGCTGTCTGTTCTTTCATTTAAATCCAGCCCAGATCATCAGTCTGCGTAGTTTGAAAGAGAGGAGGATTAGAGTTACAGGATACATTAAAAACACAAATAAGGACTTAGTGCTACCCCCGTACAGCCAGCTCAGAAGAATCCTACCATACTGTCGTAACCAAAATCCTGATTGGGACAAATTTTAAATCTGAAGGGTAGAATACTAGATAAGAGTATTTGCCAATCTGTGTGGAAAATAGGACACAAGGAGATAAACAGGTGCAGCTCCAAAACACTAGAATATCCAGCCTTGACATATTCTTACATTTATTACTGGTTGTAGATGTAGGAATGACAGCCTTGAAGACTTATGCTATTTCACCACAGGCAAGGGCACCATGGGCAACAGCACTATGCATTTCCTACACTGCCTTGAGCCTCCTCTAAGGTAAGAGCCATAGGAGCCTCCTCTAAGGTAAGAGCTATTCAGTTCTATATGACATAAATAGACCTTGACATTTGTGCTAAGCATAACAACAATAGCATGTACACAAGCATTAACCAACTTAGTCATTACTAACCTGGGTTTGATTTAAACCAGTAACCTACCTTCGTCTGTCTCACTACCAATATGCTGAGTCATCCAGGCCCACCTGTTTAGGTAACAAATTATTTAGGGGTAATGAAAGTAGTAGTGAGGTGATAACTTTCTCATATGGTAAGTGTCCTGTAGCATCATTAAAATGTAGATAGAGGAGGGGATTTCAACTACAAAACTTGTCTGTTAAGCTTTATGTAAAGCAGGGGATACAATTAAAAACAGCAACGTCCATGCACCACACTCTAATACTTTAGGTAATAAATATATTAAAGGTTTCAGAGTAGCAGCCGTGTTAGTCTGTATTCGCAAAAAGAAAAGGAGTACTTGTGGTACCTTAGAGACGAACAAATTTATTTGAGCATAAGCTTTCGTGAGCTACAGCTCACTTCATTGGGTGCATTCAGTGGAAAATACAGTGGGGAGATTGAAGTGAGCTGTAGCTCACGAAAGCTTATGCTCAAATAAATTTGTTCGTCTCTAAGGTGCCACAAGTACTCCTTTTCTTTTTGCAGATATATTAAAGAACACTTGGGACTTGATGCTATATTGGAATCCACTGGATGAACCCTTGCACTACTGCACAGTCCCACTTACATGAAAAGCCTCATCATAGCATAGGGATATTGCTCAGGTGCAGGGGTGTGAACTGGTGGAAGACAGCACAGAATCAGGGCCTTGGATTATTAGCTTTCTTCAGGTACACTATCCAAAACCCTATATTTTAAATGGCCTAGGTTATTAAAGATACTTGTATGGACTCCTGCAATGGACCATGCGAGCCCTTTATTCATGTGTGGTTTTTGTTTAATATTCAAGAGAGTACTTTCTTGTCATAGCAACAGCAGCAGTGTTTGCTTTTGGTACATATGCTTCAGTGCTGTCAGAAATAAAGAACTGACTGTACTGAAACCAGAGGCTCTTCATTCCTAGTTGCTCAACTGCCTAATTCAACCTTCTACTGAGCAACCATTTTTTTTAACAGATCCTTGGTTTTTCTCTGTCATTACTTTCGTGCAGTGTCGTAAATAGTGTTTCCTTACTTAATGTAAGAGACTGGGCTATACATGGAGACCCTACCCACAAACTTTTCTGCCTTTCCAGGCTACACAGTTTGAGTATACAGTAGATTGATGGTTTTGAGAGAAAGGCAGGCCTATGGCAGAAACCTAAATACATAAACCAGTCTTTTATTGACCCAAACTGCACTGAGTTGCAGAACAGGCTCAATGAGTATAGGTCAGTACACAAACACCCTTTGCAAATCACTGAGTCTAGATCAGGCAGCTGCCATTACTACTAGAGCTACCTGGGCAGGCTATAATCTGGAAGGTGGAATCTATAAGCTTTACAGCTGTAGTTCTCCTTCTCCTGCCACCAGCAGGCATCCTCAAGAAGAGAGAGGGAAATTGCTCTGAAGGCCACAATAGTTAATGAGAACCAATATGTGGAGAGAGTGGTAGGATAGTATTTGATCCACTATTGTTATAGTAACTTAATGCCTGCAAGTAATTGTAGGTGAGGATCTACCAGCTAAAAAGAATCAAGGACTCCTTACGCTCTTGTCCTAAAGGCAACAGGGAAGGTGATACCATCAGTTAAATGGGGATCTCCCAGCAGAGAACTCAGATGTATCTGTAGCTAGATTCAAGCTCTGTGACTATAAAATGCAGTGAGAACAAGATAAATATTTTCAATAAATGTGCAGAGCAAAAGTGTGAACGTCAACTTCTTCATGTAAGGTAACGGTTCAGTCCATAATGTATGGCTGTTCCTTTCCATGTGGAATGTTCACAATAAAGATTTCTGGTCAAAGAAGCAGCATTCCTATTCCAGTCACATTGAACAAGCCCATGGTTTGGTCACATTGCAACATCAGACCAGGGTAAGGTGTTGTTGTCAAAACAGCTTCTATATAAAAAGGTGACAAGTTGTGTTAACAACATATCTGCAGAGAAATGTGAAACTCCAGAAGTTGTAGAGGGGAAATAATACAGCTAAGCCCTGGAAGTTGTATTGTCAGTGCATTGCATGTGGTTTCTGGCAACTTCCCAGGGGAGCTCTGTAGGTAGGGACAAAAGTTAAATTATTTCTATTTATCTAGTGTTCCTGTCCTCCGCTTCAGTAACCTGCTCCAAAAGTTGGCATTCTTATAATGATTAAGTTTCTGCCAAAGAGTTTATTACAAGAAACCTGTCCCCCAGTTTTTAGTAAGCAGTGTAGTATAGCTGTGTCAGTCCCAGGACATTAGAGAGACAAGGCGGGTGAGGTATTTGACCAACTTCTGTTGGTGAGATAGATTAGCTTTTGAGCCACACTGAGCTCTTCTTCAGGGCTGGGATCCAAATTTTTTAAGCAGTCCCGGGTTTCATGGCTCTGCCTCACCACCTGCAAGGCTAAAATAGCCAAAGGTGACTGGTGATTCTGGGTGCCTCTCTTTCCAGCTGTACAACATGAGACCTGTAAAAGGGGTCAGACTTTCAGAGTGTCAGTGCTTAGCACTCTCTGAAAACCAGACCCCTTTGAAGGTCATTTAACACATTTGAAAATGTAGTTCCAAGAGTCCAGAAGACAAGATGACTATTTCATCTCTGGCATAAAAGAGGTGATAAGCTTGGAAGAATACAGGGTCCCCAACTGCCATGTAGATCTGAGAGAAAAAAGTTCACCTCAATGACATATGGGGTAAGATGAGAATTGATTTTTGCATCTCAGGGCAAAAGTAAAAGCCTTGCCCCAGTAGTTGAACCCTGTGCTTCATTTGTGGTGTTTCAGTGAAGGATGCCTTTCCATCTCAGAAAAAAAGATTGTAGAGTTGGTTAGCCCAAGACCTATTAAACTCATTGGACACTTTATAAATCAGCAAAATTGTACTGTTGAACTGAAGTTAAACTCATTGGATTTTTTTTGGTGGGGTTGGGTACAATCTGAGTGTCAAAATTATTGTCCAAGTAAAATGAAACAATTTGAGCTAACTATAACTATTATCATTTCCAAACTCCATAAAGCCTTGACTAGATTACGCTAAAGCTGTGTCAATATTTCTGACAAACGCTTGCTTTTAGGGGGTTCTAATAATCTCTGGATGAAACCTGGAGTGGTGTTCTACAGGTAACTGAATTCCAAAGGCAAGCAGAAGAAGGCTTAGTAATAGAGAGATGAGGGAAGGATCGGGCCTGCAGAGTGAAAGTTGTGATACACGGGTTTTTCACTTGAAGTGCTCAATCCTAGAAATTGTTCTCAGTAGATATAAAAGTAAATAATTAGAATGCAGATGTTTCAGGTCAGCACTGAAGTATTCAGTGAAACCAAAGGTAGTGTTAGATGATGCCTAGCTCTAATGTTCTAATACCTTACTTGTGGGATAACTGTTGTTTACGTTCACACAACAGTTTACCCTCCCCGCCCTCGAGAATCCGGGTAAGACCTATACCCAGGATCAGCGTCAGAGCTACCGCAGGTTCAGTGATAACATTATTTGTCCCTTGTGGAAACTGAAATATGATAAACTTTGAAATAGGATAAACTTTGAAGGGCAACTTGGAGACCTATTATTGCATGAATGGAAACAATCTTGGCTGATTGTGAGTTGGAAAAATAAATAAAAGCAGTAGCTGTTACTGTGAGAACCTTTTAATCGAGCTCAGGAAGGAATGTCCTGGGCTATTATGGGTTACACCTTCAAACTACTGGGACTTTTGTTCGACAAGTGGGTGAGGGATTTTCCATGTAAGACCTGGGATGGTAAACTTATATTACCCAGTGCAGCTGCAGGCTTACTCCAGGTGTTGATTTAAAGGGTGATAAAAAGAAAGATGGTGAGATCTTTAAATACATAACTTAGCTTTGCTTGGGGTTTTTTTTACACAAAAAGCCTATTAAATTCCTGTAATAAACTGCAGGCAACAGTGAAGGAATTTACAGGTGTCTTGTTTCTTTCACTGTACATCTTTCTCAATAGATACATTCAAGACATTGAATGGCTTTGGTTACAGAAGATATCAAAGCTTCTTTTGGTTTGTAAACTCAGATCAAGTTGTGGGGTACACTGATGCTTGCTGTTGTTCTCAGGTGGGCTATATATTAAAATTATTAAACGCACAGATCACCACTGAATAATTTTTTGTATGTGGTGTTTCGGGATGTGGCAGGGTCCAAACAAACTCTCAACACTATTTACTCCTTTTGCCACCAGGGCCTTTGACTTAACATATATCTTTTTCTCTCCTCTTGAAACTGTAGGATGCAATATAACGGAAATATGAACTTTCCTTGATTGGAATCAAATGATTCATAAAATAAAGACAAAAGCAAAACAGGACAAATTGAGAGTGGAAGATGAAATAACATTTGAGTCAAAATATGTGATATTGCTGAGGACCTGGAATTAGTGAAATGAAGATAAATATCTGCCTTTACTTTTGTGCAGCTTTCTTCCTCATCCTGTTCATCTACATGTTTTCACATATATAATATGCATTTAGGGATTGACTTTTAGGCTTCTGTTCTTTGTGGGTGCAGTGGCTTATTTCAAAAGTGTTAGCAGCTTGCTTTCTGATAACTAATATTTTGTGGCATGTAGTTGTTATGTCAAAGAGGCAAGGCAACATAATACATCCCCTTAAGCTGTGTTCAGAAACCAGTTTGTGTCATAATATAGCCAAAAGGACTGATGAACAAAGATGGCGAATCTGGGCTGAAGGAAAGTACTCCTTTGTCTCATGCACTAGACTAGCCACTTTCTCCTACCTCATTGGCACAGTGTCTAACTTTGCCCACTCATATCTCTTACTACCACATATTTTGAACATTCCAGCTAGGCAGAACATAACTATGTTATCTTCATAATTCAGCAACACACATTGTTTACCCACATATGTTTCTGGGGTTTGAAGATAAGATATTAATGTTCTGCCTAGTTGGAATATTTGAAATGTGTGGTGGTGAAAGCTGTGAGTAGGAAGGTATGATAATGGTGAGACCCACTGCTTTTTATTGTAAGTTTGTGTATCTCCAAGGCTGAATGGGAAGGAATGAAGAAATTCCGGAACAAAACTAAGTCTGCTCTCAGATCTCCTTGATAGAGCATGGATTTGATGTTTCTCTCTCCCCGTGGAAGTCTATCAGGGTGGAGAACAGAAGAAAATGAGAATAAAACGATCAATTACACACAAGAGCAGCATTTTTCCTTTTCATTATAGGATGGAAATCTCTTAGTTATTTGCAGCTAGAAAAGGAAACAGGAAGACAAAAAGCTAACTCATAACAACTCCTAAGAAAAATCACTTGTACTGCATACTCCTGTACACCACTGAAAGGACCATTATAATGTTTCCAGCAGGGGGCTGAGTTGCTTCAGTTTTGGAACAGATCAGAGGATGACATGATAGACAACTTCCTCTGTTCTTCCTGGCCAGTTAGATTGTTTTGAGAATGAATTAGTACAGAGCTATTTTGGGTGAGCAAAAACAGGCAGAGTGAGAGAGGCAACTGTTTGGCCAGAGGAGAGAGAAGGAGGGTGTGCATACCAACCCTGCGAAAGGAAAGGAAAGGCAAGTACTCAGTTAAAGGTATATAAGCAGCCTGTTAAGTGAAAAACAATGTGGGATAAGTATGGAAGATGCTGATGGAAAGCTCAGCCTAGGCACCACAACAGTTGCTAGTTCAAAAGGACAGACGCCAAATTGTGGGGAGAGTCTGAAGGTCAAATCGGAGACATGCACCACAGACAACGCTTATAGTCTTCAGGATCCTTGTGTGGGGAAGGACTAGTAACCAAAGGGTGTGGTTCTGATGGGAAAATGAAGAGATACTTGGATTAAATCTGGTATGGACCAGTAGGATTCACTGTAATTATTTAATTATTGGAATGGCTAATTGTGTTATAGCCCTAACCTATTCACTATCTATCTAACAGCAAGGGCAACATCTCCGAAGTAAATTACCCTCATTTTTACCTATCTTGTATCTTGGCCAGACTCTGTGTAAAGGTGGTTGCTTTCTTTTTTCACCCCTGTATGGTTAGAGTCAATCTTGAGAGAACCCAGCAGGTGTTAATTACTGAGGTGGTTCTCATACATGCAACGGCAAGAGCCTTTGTGGTTTCTGCTGTGGCTGTCAAGATCACCGATGCTAACACACTTTTGTGCACCGCCATACAGGGTGGTCAGGCTCAGGCTCATGCGAACCAGGATGGAGGCATTTACAAAGCTTAAACATCAGGTGGGGTAATCAAATCATTCTTCAGGGCAGGAGCTCACTACCACCAGGTTGCCACTGAAAGCCATTTTCCCCTAGATGCATCAGAGAACAAGTCTCCAGGTATTAGGGTTTTATGTGCCTTCTCCAACAAGAGGCTTAGAATGCTGCTGGAAGCATGCTAATGAAGTTAATGGACCACATTCCCATTCCAATAGACAAAAACTATGATTCTAGAGCTCTATAGCCCATACTCAAACGATTAGGGTTGAAGAAATTACCTTTTCTGGAAGCCCTGAAGAAACTCCTTGGTAGTATCATATTCAAATAAATCCGAAGTACAACCAGGGTGGCATTAAACACTTGATCATGTGAGCATGAACTTTAAAGTAAGAAATTGGGATTTTTGGAGTTATTAAAAAACTGTCAATATACCAGTTTACCAATGGTGCAATTTCCTAGTTAACAGCAATTAAGTTGTGCCACAAATGTTCTCTGCCTTAATTTACAATTATCAAGTACCAAAGACCTTCTGTAAACATTTTGCTTATAATGTTGGCCAGTGATGCAGTCCTTACACTGTCAAAATTCACCGTCAGTTACAAATGAATCTAGGTAAAGAAAAATTAAATATTTCTTCATGAAAATGAGGCGCACATGCAACCACACTGAATATACTGTATTAAAATAGTATTTCTTTGTTAAATGGTAGCCAAAAAATAAACCTGTAAAATATTCCCCTTAAGTTAAATAAAGTGCCATCCCTTTTACATCAAATGAGTACATCACATGAAATTTCTCCTTGATGCATTTAAAGTATTAATAGCTAGGACCCTATTGTGGTAACTGCAAGTATTAATTGATGTGTATATATACTCAAGTGGCAGCAGTGAAGCATTGTTGTAAGTAATGTTATAGATTAACAACATGCTCATTCTATAACCTGGCACTTAAAGAATTTTCCTGAGACAAGTTAGCGTCTTTCAAACATATGAAATCTCTTGGGCAAATGAAAATAGATTAAGTTGTCATTGACGTGTATATGATAAATTTTCTCTAAAAATCACACATGTAAATGTCTATTGCTGCAAACTCCCAAACTATATCTAAAGTCATGTCCAACACTTAGTACCTCTTACCTAATTGTGAACGAATGCACTGCTTTTTAAATAGGAAGTTTCTTTCCTCTGTTGAAAATCCGTGTTGGCAAATACATGCAACTAACTTCCATATCAGCAGCATGGGTAACAAGCCAATGGTTGATGCATCTGATGAAGTGAGCTGTAGCTCACGAAAGCTCATGCTCAAATAAATTGGTTAGTCTCTAAGGTGCCACAAGTACTCCTTTTCTTTTTGCGAATACAGACTAACACGGCTGTTACTCTGAAACAAGCCAATGGTCTGACATGATAACAAAAACTCCAGTTTTCTATTAGCGCCTGTAAACTTAACGCACAGCTGTGGGGATTTCAAAGGATCGTGCAATTGCTTTAAATTAAGGTAATGAGATATTTTAAGTCCCCTCTATAGTAGAATTTAAATACTGATATGTGGGGGGGCAAAACCTTGCTTAATATCAGCCACTTACACATGATGTACTTGAAAATAAAACTTTGCCAATTATGATTTAACAATAACATCAATTAATTGTAAAATAGAAAGAGATTACATAAGAAGGGAAAGTAACATAGCCACATAAAATACACATTCAAAAGTAAATTTACCTAGCTCAAAATAGACTAGCCTTAATTGCTTTCCTGTGCCCCTCAGATAGGCACCATACTCAATAAGCAAAGTTCAATTTTACCTAAAATATAATCTCTCTTCATAGTAGATGCTTTATTCACAGCTTTTATCTTGATTGATCGTCTGTGAAGATCATCCTTAGAAATACCATCAAAGAAGAAGTCCTCATTAAAGATGGGATTTCTGCTTCTCTTTATAACAGTGCTTCTTTGTTTCTGAACTTTCCCTGGCACAAGAGAGAAGGTGATGCAACAGTTAATCCTTTTAGGTTCCACAAATACATCATATAAGCCTTCAGCACTTATCAGACGGAGTCTCAACCTTCTGCTTTCAGGACAGAAGTCAGAGAACAGTCTCAAGATTCCTCTTCTATCAAGAAATACTGTACGTACACTTCTAAGTCTCTCTCTGCCATTAGTAAAATCCTGGGGAAAGATGGTTGACTGTGACCCAGAAGAGCTTTGTGTGCTTGAGCACTCACATAAACTTGCCAAAGACCGCCTATTGGGATTGGGACTGCTGTCTGTGGAGCTGTCTTCATCTGTGGATAAGGAGTTTCCCCTTAACATGCTGGATTTGCTTTCTGCCTTTAAAGTCCTGCAGAGCAGTCTCTCCGGGCTCTGGATTGTAAATAAAAAGCAGGATCTGGGAAGGAATCTTTTGAGAAGTGAGGAGGTGAAAGGGGAAGAGTCGGTGGAAGAAGCAGTATCACAATCACAAGTGTCTTGTCTTGGCAAGTGTGGATGCCTAGAAGAGAGTCTGGTGGTGGTAGAGCTGATGATGCTGGAATCTACTCCTTTGAGGTAGATTCTGGAACTTGGCAGCAACAGTAGACAGGACATAGAACAACTGCATGGGTCATTGTGGAAAATACTCTCCTTTCTTCTGGTATGGGGACTCTCCAGCAAAGTGCAAAATCCATAGGATGTCTGCACCTTGGGGAAATGGATGAGGGAAAGTGCTGCCTGTGACTGTGGGTCTGAGTTGGTGCTTTCTTCCACTGAAATGAAGTTATTAGCAATTTCAGTTGAGAGGATATGTGGCAGCTGTGTACTGGGGTTATGAACAGTTTCACGAGGGCACAGGTTGGTCTCTGCATAGGACTGGATGCGGGAGCTGGGATCCCTTGCAGAGTGGGAACTAATCAATCTGGATGGGATGCAGAATTCTGGAATCCTGTCTGGGGTTAAGATGTTGGGAGAAGCAGCCATTGCCCTCTGAGCTCTATTCCAGTAGCAAACTCCTTCTTTTCCCAACATGATTGGCTCTGAAGCCTTGCTGAGTTTCTCCAGGCACCACATCAGGAACAGTTTGTGATACACACAGCTATCGTACAGGAGGAGAGATCTGTCCTAGGAGAAAGGCTGTTCACTGGAACCTGCAACACAGGAAAAGTAAAATGAGGATCACTTGCTGCTTTTCATAAAAGGCAGCAGCCACTAATGGTCCGGAGGGAGGCAGAATTAAACACTGCATCAGGAGGAACCAGCTACAGACTTCACAGTTAGGGAAGGAGACTTTAAAAAAAAAAAAAAAAAAGCCTGAGTGCAATTTTAAATGAATTGAAGCAAAATCACAAATGTAAAGAATTAATGAGGGAGCCTTCCTCTGTAGTGGTGAGACATGATAGGCGCCCCTAGTTTAGGTCAGTTTTCCTGAACCACTAACTTGGTTGAAGGACTTTTCTGTGTCCAAAATGGCAGCAATCACTTGGCTGCTGCTAAATGGTGTTTAACAAATGCCATCACTTAAAAGCTTTTGGCTTTTTAATTTATAAGAAGAAGTAAACACTCTACTTGACTTCCAATACACGTAACTTGAATCTTAACGCATACTAGTCGAATGACAGTTCTGATGTGCTGTTAGAATGGGTGCATGTGGTACAATTTAAGGAGTACCTACCTCTAATTCTTTAAATGCAGTGAGACAGTCCCTGCTAATGCCACTGAGACGGGACACTGCAGTAGATGTTCAAACTGTAGTTCTGCTGCAGTTCAGCTACACAACTGGTTCTGCTTTATAAAGGCTGACAGAAGTGGGCAGCAAAGTAGACCATCACCAGTGGAAACCTGCTCTCTTTTGGGCAGCACACATCCTCAATTGCCGCTCTCGAGATGATGATGTTATATGCCACAGCAACAACCTGCAAGCCCCACCCTCAGACAGGCTTCCAGTGAGTTTACATGCAGGTCAGTTCATCTACTGCTGCAGCTACACAATGTAAGAGCCTCATTCAGAGCCAGTGCACACCCCCTCCTGTGTAACTGGTTTAGGTTTGTTTTTATTTGCTTGCATTTTTTAAAAAGACAGTATGACTATGTCTAGAGCAAATATAAAAGGAAATATGGTAAAAAGGAGTGGATGTAGTAATGATGAGGCTTCCTGCAAAGAATAGTAATTGGATTATCGAAGTGCCTAGGGAAGGTAAGAGGAGAGAAATGGCAAGATGACTGGTACTGATGGAACCAGTATCAAAGGGAAGGCTAAATTGCAATAGAGCACAGAATTTCATTGCTGTTGCCAGTGCAAAAAAACTACATATAAACAGAAATGACACAAATAGCCACCCCAGAGGTCCAGAATTTAGCCCAGTAGTTTCCAAATTGTGGAAGGAGAGATGGCTGGTTATATTTTTGTTGGCTTTCCACTTAGTATCCAGCTGCTAACTTGAATTCAAAACCACTTAAAGAAAAACCCACTTAATACCATTCTAATATTTTCTATCTAAGTAACTGCTGGTCAGCATAGGCACAGGCAGCAATTGCCAAAAGGAGTGTTGGGATTGCAGTGCAAGGGACATTTGCAGTGGAACACTTTGGCAACTTTGCTCCAGTTCACTCTGAACCACACTCTTCTATGAATGGTGTCTCTATTTTCCAAGGCTGATCAGAGTTTGGGCAGTTGCCATATGGGGTACCATACTTTCTTATTGGTCATGCCAAATGCCGATTCCAGATGGTCCAACAGCTCCACCACCTTATCTATGTGCTTCTTAGCACAGTGCTCCTGATAGAGAAAGGCAGATTATTCAGGAGTGGCTTAAAACTCCCCAGATAAATCCTAAGAAGGAGGCATTATTCCAGAGAGCTAACTCGCCCCAATGTCAACAAGGCAATCACTCTAAAATATACTATGCCTTATGAAAAACTGATATCCCCTGGAATTAGGCCATGGTATACTTCCCAAAAGTACTTGTGATATCATTGGCTATTCTTCTGCCTCAACCAACAAGTGACAGGCGTCAGAATCTGAATGAGGATTCCCCATGCAGCGAGGAAGGTGTCTGACATTAGCTTGTGGTACATAAGGCTATTGAAATGTCAGTGCTGTCAGAAACCCTGAACATGCTGCACAGTTCAGGTGCTGCTGGAGCCCTTCAGAAACCCACAAAATAGGATTTGCCATGGATGGGGGGAGTTCAGTGAAAGTTACCCAGTGGGCTTAGTCTCTTCTGATCCGAGGTTCCCAATCAGTTGGGGTTGATCCTGCTTTGAGCAGGGGTTTGGACTAGATGACCTCCTGAGGTCTCTTCCAACCCTAATCTTCTATGAGTCTATGATCAGTGTCTGCTTTAGTCCCAAACTCGATGAACACTAGAAGGTCTGAACCATGAAGTGCTGGGATACTTGCTGTAAAACTCCCTGTCCTGGACATGATTCTTCTCTCTCACTGATTTTACATACTGTAGTCACTGATTGTTATGGAGTTACTGCAGTTTTACATTAACATAAGTGACAAGAGAATCAATCTTAATATCTGTTTAGTTATGTAATGTGTATCCATGGCCATGCCAGGTATTCATTGTCAAGAGATAATCTCAGAAAACACTAGGGTGCCTTAGCTCTCTGGAATAACGCCAGCTTTTAGGATTTATCTGGGGAGTTTTTAGCCACTCCTGAATAATCTGCCTTTCTCTATCAGAAAGGGGCACTGTGCTATGAAGCACATAGATAAGGAGCTGGAGCTGCTGGATCATCTGGAATCGGCATTGGCATGACCCATAAGCAAGTATGGTACCCCATATGGCAACTGCCCATACTCCAGTCAGCCTTGGAAAATAGAGGAACCTTTCATAGAAGAGTGTGTTTCAGAGTAAGCTAGAGCAAAGTTGCCAAAATGTTGTGGTTCTTTTTTTTATTAGGTGAAACACTTTCTTGCCCCATAGCGATACTGTCTAGTTGATCAATGCCTTGAGTAAGGAGGATCTTTTGTGGAGAGACAGAATTCATTCACCTTTTCACTTTAGGTTGAGTGATGCGTGGGACGTATGGAATCTTGCCATCCTTTGTTGGGCTACTTACAAAACCTGAAGTTCAGCTGTAATTGTGCCATATCCTGCTTTTATCTTTATTTTTTTACTTAAAGGCCTTTAACTGTCTCTATAGTAAACTGTAGCCAATGACAAATCAGTGATCCTTCAAGAAAGAAAGCATTGCCAGAAGCTAAAGGAAACCCAGACTCCTGAACCTGCCCTGAATGTGCCAATTCAGCAGCTCTCCTTATTCAATTAATGCTTGGCTGCAAAACACAGCCCCATCAGTCCCTCTCATTTCTGAATCACTTTGAAAGCCTGATCTAGGGGATGCTGGTCACAATGGTGTTCATGTCCATAGATGACTGGTACATCATCCAAGTGATTACAAGAGAAAATTTTGTCATGAGAGGTAGAGTCTGTACTTGGGCTAACAGATATTGATGACTGTACATTTTACTGTCTGCTTAAAATTAATTCTCACATTCTAATTCTCTGATGACTGATGCATTTATCATGGACACATGGACTGCTCAACACAGTCGTCTCTGATTCTATCTTCTTAGACTTTCTCTGTGACTTGCTCCTTCATATCAGGACTCATAACAGTCATTATTAATTCTTCACCAGCTTCTGAGGATTTTCTATCTGTTTTTACAGGGTAGGTTATCCCTGAACTATCAAAATCACTTTGTTCTCATACACTGACTAATTTCCAATTGACTCTATTATGTTAATTCATACCCCAAACACCTGGAGCATGTCACCATGGTTCAGATTGTGCCATATCTTCAGGATCATGTTTTTGAAACACCCTTTTCAAAGAGGGTTTAGAATTGTCTGTTCTACTGAAGCGGCATAATTGAAAGTATTTGATGATCTTTCAAGTAGCTAAATCAAAAGGCCTTTCATCAGTTCTGGATTTGCTGTTTAGCAGTCACGTTTAACAAGATCAACCACAAGATATAATGTTCCTGTTAATCCTTCTCAAAGGATTTAAGCCTCCACGCTCCAAGTGTTTTGCTGCTTAGATCTCTAATTGCCCATTTCACATTCTCCATTGGACAACATTATAATTATTCTATCCATGTGAATGCCCTTAAAAGGCTCTCTTAAGTCCCTCCCTATTTTCTCTTTCTGTTCACTTTCAATACTCTGTCCTAGTTATCAACACAGTGTGGGTGACATTCTCAGCAGTGCAACTGTAAAAATGTTCCCTGATGACTCTCAAGGGATGAATCCAGTATTCCACATTAACACGTTGTGATCAGTAGCCAGCCTGGATCCAGCATGCATTGATGCTTCACAGAAGAGAGTGTTCATAGGAAATCAGCTCATCAGAATATCCCCTGATTTCTAAGCCAGAAGGGCTTCAGTCACAAAGTTGAGCTCCAGATATGAATTGCCCAATAGCTGTTGGTGGTAAGGCCTAGAGTTCTGCTTTGAGCCCATCTCCAGTTAAGAACACTAATGAGTAGTAAGATTCGTACTTTAACTGCACTGCTGCGGAACAGCTGGCAAGATGGTCTCTTCTGATTACTTGTTTTCTTTTGACAATCACAGATGGAGCAGTGGAAGAGCCCTTTCCAAAATCTTGGAAATCATATCGTGCCCAGAATTATTGCCAAAATCCTGGGAAGTAAAAGCACAGATTTAAAGGCAAGAATGAGTTGTCTCTGTGTACAGAGGCCGACCTATGTTGGAAACAAGCATTTCAGTATTCCATTTGTCCCTTTCCTGCCCCAATAAGTCAATATGTGGGTGCATCAGTCATGGGCAAGCACCACTGTGCAAAGGCCTGTATCACTGTCTGAGGTAAAAAAAAATGTACAACTCATTTCACAGTATTAAATTGTTTATAAAATATGCAGCATTGGAAACAGAAATATTGGTACAAAATGACTTGTTAAAGAACTGTGATACAGATCTTCAAGGCTTATAATAAATCGTAGGTTGGCGTAACAGTGAGATGAAAGATTCTAGAAGTAGGAGATGTTTATAGTTGAAATAATTGAAATATGGTTTGATTAGTTAATTTTAATGGGATGTTTGCTTCCTTCTTTTGGATATTATCTTGATATCTTCATATTTGGATATTATCGGGACGCCGAAAGAAGGGATCAGTG